GTCAAAGCGTTTATCGCATCGGGGATCTCAGCACCGAGAGCAACCAGTAGTAGTCCGAAAAACCCGCTAGAGCTGGGGTTGTGCAAAAGGACAACCCATCGGTCAACGACACAGCCGATGAGGAAAGAGGCAGCGGACACCCACGTAAATGCCGCGAAGAATGTCAACGCATAGAGGTTCTCTTGAGGCTGGTAGATACGGCAATCAGGGCAACTAATATCAATGATGTGTTTCAAAGGCCATAGGACTGCATCTAGGTCTCGCTGAATATTCTGCAGCAGAGATGTACACTTTTGGGCAGATTCAGTTGAGACTTGTGTTGAGCCGGTTTCGATCAGGGGCATGGCGAGCTCCTCATCGTACTTGTCACGGAATACTGAGGTTTTCTGGTTGTTTTCTTTCCGTCTGAATTCCCGAAAACTTTGAAACTCGGCCGAACCGTCAGCGGTCTTGGAGGGCTCCATTGCAGCAGCTACACCGTTTCTGTGAGTGAGTCGCCACTGTGTGTACCAAGACTGAACTTGATCGCCGTAACAGAGCGTAGTTACATAGGCGATGTAGACGAGGATGAGAACAACACCATGTATAGTAGTAATAGCGGTTCTGAGGGCATGTATGAGTACCAAAACCGACACACCGTAGAATAACACGTCTCGCGTCAAGGGTTTTCTCTTCAACAGTAGAGGAACCATCTTATCACTGGCAATGCTACATAAGGCGGGGACCGTGAGAAAGGCCAGCAGGCCACTTCCTAGGATAGCACCAATTCCCAACGCGGCATCAGCCTCTTGGTTGCCACTCATGATGGCTTTCATAGTAGCAAGGGAGTTCACAGTGATCTCTGGTACGGCTCCACCAAATGCCATGAATGTAGCGCCACCGATCTCCTCAGGAAGGCCCCAATGATCACATAAGGTTTCCATAGAATCGCACAGGTGGTCAGCGGCCAATGCTAAAGTAGCGAAGGCGATGAGAAGGAGACCAACTTCAATGACAACCTCAACGACAGGGTTACCGATGGAGTTCAGACATAGAGACTCCCCGAAGCTTGCAAGGGTGCATGATTCACTCATGATAATCGTGGTTGTACTCATGAATTTCTAATAACCATCGATTAGAATGGCGAGCGCTAAGTTAACAGCACACTTTCGCGTACTGATTTGCATATGCGTGCACATTGCTAAAAGTCTTCCATTGAGGTCGAAGTGATTGAGATACTGTGACATGAGCATTTCTCGTTGTGATCTCCACACGAGAATACAACGAATATTGATTTGCACGTAGAGTCTTCTCATGATAGAGATAAGGAAGCGTATTCTGAATTTGACGATGGGGTGATTAATATGCAGTTTCAGAGGATCGAACTTGACACATCCGGATTGAGAAACTCTGGTGTTACTCTCTACACCAAATTTGCTCGAAATTTGAGACACAAAGAATAGCACATATAGTTCAGTTTATTGTTTTATGGATGCCTGAGAAAGGCGACTTGAATGCCGAAATTAAACTATGGAATGAACGCATAGAGAAGGAGAACAAAGTGAATGCCAAAATAAGAGGTAACCAGTGTTGGAGTAGGAATATATGTAATCGCTGTCCTCAGCTGCTGAGCTCAGGAGTTTCCTATACAGTGTTGGAGGAGGAATATACGTTCGCTTTCCTCAGCTCAGCTCAGGAGTTTCCTATACAGTGTTGGAGTAGGAATATATTTTCGCTTTCCTCAGCTGAGCTCAGGAGTTCACGTACGAATCCGGGTAAAAATGTACGAATTTTCCCAAAAATTTCCTCAGAATTTTCGTATTTTCCCCTCACACTATATTTGCTCCTCCTCAGAGGCGCCCTTCTCCCTGGCCCGTTTGCCAGATAGCATTACTGCTAAGCCCAATGAGGAGAATCTCGGCAGTCAACACCGGAGTGCTTCGATGTTCGACATTCTTGAAAATCTCAGGAAATCATCAACGGTGAGATGCGGAAACTTTTCCATTTTTTTCGAAATTTCTTTTGAATCACAAAGACTCTCAGGATCCTCGAGACAAGTTTCTACTGCCACAAACGGCATCCCAAGACTTCGGTTGGCTGCTCAGTGATTCGAGGGTGAGCCGACGAAGCAAGAAGTCTCATCCTACCACCGTTACTACGGGTAAGTGGAGGAAAATATGAAAATTCTGGGAAAAAATTTGGGAAATTCTTGTTGTTTTCTGTACATTTCTACCCGAAGTCGTATATTGGTCAGAAAATTCCTGTGTGTGTGTGGGAAAATATGCACATTTTTTAATGAAAATACGAAAATTTTACGGAAAATATGGAAGATTTGGAAATATGGAAATAATGAAAATATGGAAAATTTGAGTAAATTTTTGGAAATTTTCGTTGGTTTCTGTACGTTTTTACCCGAACTCGTACAGTTAGTTAGAAAAGCGATTATATATTCCACCAACACTACCGCGCAGCAGTGTCCGTCTTTTCACTCAGGTTTAGCAAATTGGAAAAGAAATTTCTCCCCAAGGCCGCCTCATCGCGAAGAGACACATCATAAGGGTTACGTCACTATGTTGGGCGAATTTGAAAGCTCGGCTGATGTAACATAAAATTTACCCGAAAATTTTTTCTCAAGAATTGAGTGAATGATCAGATGCAACGCGCGGTTCGCAAGAGCTCCTCTACATCTGACCTCACGATGACCAGGAAATCTAGGTTAGTGCTATGGGAAATGTTGAAGTGAATTCCTGCTTTGTGAAATTTGTGCGAAAAAATAATCGACAATTTTTTTTGGGGATAAGTTTTTATTTTTCCTCTTGGTTGGATAAATCAATCATCTCCTGTGAGTTCAGAAAGTTATATCAACTTTTGGGAAGCTGTAAGGGCGTGCGCTTTCTCTAGTAATAAGTAACTTGGAAAGCGGTATGAAGGACCACTTTCCGAACATCTGCGAGTATCTGTCTCACCTGCTGTGTTCTTTGGTGGACATTTCAGCAAATAAATATTTTCAGGTGGCGCGAAAATGCGTGAAATTCTGGCTATCAGTTTTTCATGCTATTTCGCATTCGGTATTATTAAAGTCGTTTATGAGGAAGAGCGCTCCGAAATCACTCACATTTTCATGGAATATCTTTTTGTACGCAGCCACATATAACGGGTCTTAAAGCTCGAAGACTATTTTGAGGTAGCTCTAGTTCATTTGTCACTAGCCGTAGCAATCTCGGCTTCAGTTTCCGTTCGATGAGTGAGATTCTGCTGGTCGTAGGATTTTTGGGAAAAATTTTTTATTTTTTGTTGGATGAATCAATCATCTGCTGAAAAATAGACGGAGTGGGAAAAATATAAAGCAAGTTTGAATTTGAGAATTCAGTTGTGTTAAGATCAATTATGTGATCTACCGAGAATGACAGAAAAATGTATGTTAGCGCAAAGTTTGATGATATTTTACACGAGTATTCGAATATACGTTCGGGTTTTTCGCTTTCCCTCAGCTGAGCTGAAAAAAGTTTATATATAAATTCGGTTAGGAGTGTACAGAAACCAACAAGAATTTCCCGCAAAAGTTTCCTCAGAGTTTTCATAGTGCCATCGACACATGTAGTTGAACATGTGCATATCCCTCCACACAGAGTTTGACAATTTGCGTCGGAAAAAATAAAGTTTTTGATTTCTGGGTTTCCTGCACCCTAGTGATATGAAAAACACTAGTGAAAAAATATATTGCACGACTACTGCATATCACCGCGAATAACATCGCGTTTTTCACCACTTCACTTCGTAAAACGGGTTGTGAAACTCCGCTGAGTTTAGGTCTACACCCAAGACGTTGATGTCCTTGCGTTTTCTCGGATTACCAATTGAGGCTCTTCCTGGTGACATTCAGCTCAAGAAACACGAATGGTGAGCTCAGCTGAGATGAAGTGTGCGAGGAGTGGTATGAGTTTTCCATTTTAGGAAATTTATTTGCAACAAGCTCGGGAGAGAACCTGAGCAGATAGAAAGCGAACGAATAGATTCACAGGACGGTAGGCAAATCCAGTTGATGTTATTATTACGTTTATTACCCATTATTCTCAAATTCTTCGCGAAATTTTACGTGCACTGTTCTACTCAACGACTACAGCAGAACGGGGTAGATATAACCATTCAAGTAGAAGCGATAGAGTAGCTAAGGGCCAAGGCTATGTAGCTATTTAATGATGGTTGTGTATTGGGACAGTGTATATGATCCCTATTTCTCATATTTTTATTTTCCTAATGATGAGAGATAGATGCACGATAGAGTGCTCCGAAGAGTGTAAATGATGGTGATCTTTTTTCTGTGCTGTTATTACTTCGCCGTTTCTGTTCGTCTTACCATCCGTTTATATACGAGTCGTGTTTTGTTGGTATGGCATACTACTAAGGATAGTTTGCTTACTCCGCCATATTATAGTTATTCTTGGCTTTTGAAATTCTCGAATATGAAGTGATACAGTTGTACGACCATTCGGGAGAACTCCTCGCGAACTGTTTGAAAAATATGCACATGGTGTTGACAATGGAGTTTCACCCGTTCTACGTGAAGTGGCGTCGTAAGACTCCGTGAGAAGCCCGATATTCGCGGTCAACGAATTATCCAGGAACCTATAATGTTCCCGGAGGTGAACTCATTTTGAAATTTCCACGTATGGCTAGGAACACACTCTTCGATCAGTTTCCCATGTAAATGTCATCACATTGGGAACATTTTCCTCCTTGTTATCAAATCGTGGGAAACGTTTTTTCTCAGAGCTGGATGGGTCCCTGTTCGCGGTGATATGCAGTAGTCGTGAAGTATACTTTTCACTAGTGTTTTTTATATCACGGCCGCCCGTGAAACTCCAACGACGTAAATTTTACATAGTATTAGTGATGAAATTTCAACGGTGTTATTGCTAGTCCCTTGGGATTCGTTCTTCCAATTCGTAATGTTCAGCCCAGTATTGAAATATATGCTCGCTTTCCTCAGCTGAGCTCAAGAGTTTCCAAAGCTAATCAAAGAAGTTTACATATGAATTCGGGTAGAAGTGTAGAGAAACCAAGAAGAATTCCCTAAAAATTTTCTCAGAATTTTCATATTGTCACCAACACACGTACAGTGCGTGCCAATTTGATATGCAAATGCGATAAATGAGCGTCTTCTCTTGAAATTGATGATAATCGCCCTGATACTTCGCATATACAATGTTAACATTGCTACGAACATATATTGTGGAAAACGTAATCGTTTGAAGCGGTGATAGAGAAAAAATTATCCATTATGTCAACTCGCGCTCACCTAAGTGTCCCGAATTGACCATGTGCATTTCCCCCCCCCCCCCACACTGGTTTCACTTTCAGCTTCCACCGTTCTATCAGTGGATTCCAAATCGTCACTGCTGTCGCTGAGTAGTGTCCCTGATGACATCACTGAGATATCTAAAGTTTGGCACCGACAAGCTGCCAGAGTTAATGCTATTAGAAGGCTCGTGCCTAACCAGTGCAACACTCGTTGGTCGGTCTCCTCGGCTGAGTTGGTCTGTAGTGTTTATAATAGGTACAAACCGCTGGGGAAAACCGACGTGTCGCAATACGCGAACGATTATGCTCTTTCGTTTGGGTGTGGTCCTTTTGATAAGCATCAAGTTCTGTCGAATTCCTAGTATGTCACTTCATGTTGTTGTTGATGATATACTGCGCCGTGTTGTGTTGTTGATGTAGTTCACCGATTTACGGTATGGGAAAAGAGGATGAGATCAGTGAACTGAATGTACTGCGAGCTCTCCTTATAGTGTTGACGGTTTATAAGTGTTTACACTTCCTCACTAGCCTTAGCAGTGGAGACGTTTGGTCACCCGTTGAGCTGCTGTCCGACACCACAGATCCTGTTGACATTGGCTTATAACACCAGCCAGAGCGTTACTATTCGGAGGAATAGGATGAATACAACACCAGCAACAGTAGAACAACCTCCTAATAGCCTTAGCTAGATTGAGCACACAACGGCGATAGAGTGATCAGGTTGCTCGTCAGTCTGAGGAAAGCTAGAAAATGCTCGCAGCAGTTCTATCCCGTAACACAACGTACAACTGTAAACACAACACTCTGTGAGAGAAGCCAGTCGGGATCTATTGTCAAGGAGAATCTGTTATTATGATAACATTGGAATATGTGGTCGTCCTCTCGTGTTGGTCTCCGTAACTTCTTCTCATCAGCATTTGGGGGTTATCAATGTTAGCTTCCTCTCACCGTGCATTTGCCGCTGTTGCTACCAAACGAGTTGCAGTGGTGAGATATTAGTTTTAAACGTGAATGAGTTTGTTATGTGATCTGAATTTTTAATCGCATAATAAGACTATATTTTTCGACCTAAAATCTGGTTTTAAAAATGAATCTACAGTTCAGCGCATTCAGGTTCTCTCTGGTTGTGGCCACCTCGACGGCAGTGAAATTCGCGAAGCGGTGTTCGTGCTCACCGAATTGAGTCGAGCCAACGCCAAATACCAATGCTTTGCTCCGGACATCCAGCAGATGCACGTCGTGGATCACTCAGATGGGGTAGACCTGTCGGCTCTTGAGAACTACCAGAGCCGCTGTTTTTGTAGTCGATAGATTCTGGTTCGAAACGCAACGTGTTGGTGGAAGCTTCACGCATTGGAAGGGAAGGTGAGTTCAGTATTCATGTGGGATATTCACGAACTTAGATTTTTATCGAAAGTTTTCTAGTTTTGAAAAACAGGTACTCTCCCGTTAACAGATCTCAAGGCTAACGATTATGACGCATTGATGTTCCCCGGTGGCTTCGGAGCTGCGAAGAATCTCTCGAACTTCGCCGTTAAGGGCAGTGGCATGTCAGTTCATCCCGAAGTTGAAAGGGCGATCAAAGAGTTCAACCAAGCTGGTGAGTCTGTGAGGTATATCCTAGCTGGATCGATGTGATGCGTCCAAACAGGAGACAATATCAACTTTTCTTTACTCACTACTGCGTCAAGCTGTTACGAGTGGTTGCAAGCTGTCACATTATTTACGTAGGTCATCCAATTGGCCTAGTCTGCATCGCTCCAGTACTTGCAGCTAAGGTTTTGAACGCCGAAGTCACTATGGGTGAGTCTGGTGGTGAATCAGAGTGTGGGTTGATAGAAACATGGTCAACTACATGTGTAGGTGACATTTGCGACGGAAATTCTGAGGAAATTCTCGTTGGTTTCTGTACGTTTACACCCGAATTTATATATAAACTTCTTAAATTAGTGAGGAAATTCCTAGATTCAGGTGAGGAAATCAAAGAGTTATTCTAACACTGGTGAATCAATGACTCAGTCGTGGGTTTTCCAGGTTCCGATGAGGTTAGTGAAGAGTATCCAAACGCATCTGCCGCGCAAGCTGTGAAGGAGATTGGCGGTAAGCATTTCAATACAAAGTTGAACGAGGCCCATGTCGATACGGTCAAGAAGGTTGTTACCTCTGCTGCGTATATGAACAACACAGCGCCTATTCATGAGATACACGAGTCGGTCGCTGCGATGGTGAGGGAAACTTTGAAGCTGATAGATAGTTAAGCTATTGATTTTATGAATTTTTTATTTCTGGAAGTGTTGCGTTTTCAAACTGTCACCGTAGTTTCCTGGTAACTTGCCGAACTCAAACCCTCTTCGTATGAGATCCAAGAATCCTCATTAGAAAACGTATGGCAATGGTTAAAACACCAATGGTTAAATGGAATGGATAAGAGACAGTGGGAGGTTCGATGAATGATATACCCTACCGATTTCAAGTTATTAGCCTAGAGTGAGGGGATACAGTCGACGAGTAGATATTATCATGCTATTATTAGCGGCCGCCGCTGCCACGCAGTGATGTGAAGCTATGTAACCATCATTCCTTTCTAGTATCGTGAATGACCTTCGCGTCGGGATCGCTATCCCGTACACCTTTCCGTATAGACATGAACTCGCCTCGCGTAAGTGGCTCATTCAAAGGACTGGTCTGTGAGAGTCAAAGGAAGTCAAGATCCACTATGGGCAGATAGAGAGTGAAAAACAGATTACGGTTGGAGAGATAATTCGTCGAATTTTGGTATTGATAATAACATTGGTTAAGATAACACTCTGGCTTCAGGAGGGGCAGCTATGCCATAGCAAGATGCGTTTTGGTATAAAAAATGCAGCTATGAATGAGATAGATATCTCTGGATGGGGCAACTATGCCATAGCATGGATCCTGATTCAAGATACAATCTGGTATTAAAAATGCATCTATGAATGAGATAGATAAAATGTGGCTATGAATGGGATAGATATCTTCGGATGGGGCAACTATGCCTTAGCAAGATACACCCTGGTATGATCAAAATGTGGCTATGAATGAGATAGATATCCTCGGATGGGGCAACTATGCCATAGCAAGATACACCATGGTATAATCAATATGTGGCTGTGAATGAGATAGATATCTTCGGATGGGGCAACTATGCCATATCATGATTCTTGATTCAAGATACGCTTCAGTAATGGTTGCTGCTGCATATAAGCGTTGGCGATTTCGCAACGTTGTTTTTTTGTGCACAGCTGAGTGTCTCAATAAGACTTTGCAATCGAATGCAATATCAAGGAAGACGATGCTCTACATTAGACTCGATTTTGACTGACCGATCGGATTTCCGTAATCGAGCACACAGGGTTCCATTTCAAGTGAGATCTTCTCAGGCTGAGAAGATCTCACTGAGCATCTCGCTGAGAATCTCAGCGAGATTTACAGCGTTGGGATGCTCTAGAAATTTCTCAGCCAATGAGCCCGGACTCCCTTAGATATTCACAAAGATATTGTAGATCAGCTCAGGACGATTATTTCCGACTGAACTATAGCGACACTGAGCCGAGGTGGACGATGTGCTACCTATTGTGGTGAGCAATGGCGATCCTCGCAACGTGCAAATTACGGTCACTGTATTTCTATATTCTTAGCGGAAAACGTTTTCTCGAGACAAGGACTTATCCAATGTTTGACATCCCCAGATTCCTCATCAAGCCAACTCAACCATGTAGCTGCTTAAAAAGTAATCATGAAAATCTTCGCTACAACAACAGCTCGCGTGCCTTCCTGCAAATCTGATCCAGAATTGCTCCCGTAGTATGAAAATGTTCTCTCCGATGTTTCTGATATTCGCTCATAAAGTTGCCGTTGATCCCAGAGTCGAGACCATTGCCGAGGTTGTCCACCATCGCCACGATAGCGTACGGTACCTCAGAAAAAAATCAAAAAACACACACAGGAAAAAACTCACTCCGAGCTCTCCAGCCAATGTCCATTCTGAAGCACAAGTCATGCCAACCAAATGCCCGTATCTCTGCAACATACGTACTTCCGCCCGACTCTCGAACCTGTTCATTAGGGTTGCTATGCTCGATAATTCCACACGTGTTGGTGATAACAATATGAAAATTCTGAGGAAATTTCAAGAGATTTCTATTGCTTTCTGTACACTTGTATGTAATCTTCCATAATTAGCTCCTGAGCTCAGCTGAGGAAAGCGAACACGATTTCCATTACCGAGGACCATTGGTCTGCGTGTAGACGACATCCGTTTCTGTTTCGTTCGCCTCACTGAGACTCACTATATGGGGGCCTTCTTGGAAAGGGAAAAGCGTTCCGGCGATTTTCTATAAATGACGAAAAAATGCGCTCCTCAAGTGATACAGAAACTTCTCACTTTGCGCCACACATGATCATCGTGGTCGCAAGGAGTGTAGTGAATGCGGCCTTTTTCACCCGAAAAAGGACCAACATCAGGATTACCCCAAAACCTGAGCCCACACGTGGAGAGAAATAATAAATAATCGAGTTTCACCCGAAAAACGCGATTTTCGCGATACGAAGTGGAGTGAAAACACTTCGCGAATTACATCGGAAAATCACCTCATTTCACGTGAAACACATCACGCGTTTTACACGTTATTCACTACTCAAATGAAACTCCAATTATATATAATATTTACGTCATAGTTCCGCGTTGGGGTGCAAAATCGATGAAGTCCGTTGGTACAGCAATATCCCCTATCTTGAACAGATCTGGCCTGATACTTCCGACTGATGCCAACGCGATGATCCTGCGAAAAAAAACACTCTTACACACTCCACAAAAAGAAGCTCGCAAATTCCCCTTTTGAAAAAGACTCAAATTCTATAGAAAATTATATAAAATTTTCCATTGATTTTTTTCATCAGCTTTTCACAGAGAGCTGTGTGCGGTATGAAATCATCAGCATTTGCCACTGGCTAGGCCACTTGATTTTCATTTTGATAACTAATTCGAAATACAATTATAAAACGTAACAGTGGCGTCTCACCCGTGATATGAACAACACTAGTGAATACTTTATTCCACATTTCACTTTGCGAAATGCCTAAAACAGGTAATGTTTTTCACGTGAAATGGCGCGATTTGCCAAGTATTTTCAATTCACTTCACATACGCCACTTCACGTAAAACTTAACAGTACGACTTCAACTTCCTAAGGAGCTTACTTGTCACAGAGGAGCTCATGAGCTATTGCCCACATTATAGCTCTGTAGGGAATTTCATGAGGAGGACTATACCCCTCGCTGCTGCTGTGATGACGTGCTACGAAATATATGCAGAAATCATCTGAAAAAAATTGCAGAAAATTTGATCAAATTTTTCCTTACTTTCAATGTGAAGTGGCAAAATGTTGGTAACAATTCCATAAGGAGTCTCCACTGAAATTTTATCGCCTTCCGCGTGAGGCAGGTTCACACCGCTTCCTCCCAACACTCCTAATCTGACTTGGCCTTCAGGTTTTGGCGGGAGCATTCCGGATAAACTTATTTTTCGTGATAACAACAACTGCTCATAAATTTGAGGAGTATATCTTCATTTTCCTCAGCTGAGCTCAGGACTTTACATACGAATTCGGGTAGAGGTGTAATACAGAAACCAACGACAATTTCCCATAATTTTCCCATAATTTTTCCATAATTTTTCCAGAATTTTTCCAGAATTTTTATATTGCCGCCAACACATAGTTGACTCTGATCCTCCCGAGATTTTTTAACTTCAACACTAAACAGACTCATAAAAAGGAAGCCTTTTCAAATTCGTCTCTCCATAGGCTCCGCCGAATCTACCTTTGATACGATGAAAAAAAATACATGAAAATTGAGACCACTACTGAAGTGGTCGCTGTTGTTGCACCTGAGAGTACACTCACTATCGAATAGCAGTGTGAGGGGGAATATACACATGGACAACTACATGTGTTGGTGACAATATGAAAATTCTGAGAGGAAATTCTTATTAATTTCTTCACACTTCTACTCGAATTCATGCGTTAACTTTTTAGCTCAGCTGAGGAGACCAACACTCCCAACCGAAAGGTCCCCGGTTCGATCCCTCCATACCGCAACTGGGAATGTCTGATTTTGGTTTGTCGGTGGCACCACAATAACCGCTCCGCTTTGCATGCGGTTGAACCTAGTCGAAGAACATTCACAAGAATTTTCACATTCACCATGGAAAAAATATTCCAACCTTACTATAATCAAACCCTCATCAGTAATAACACATATGGAAACGCCAGCCCTTTCCGCGACAGGTACCATACGTATCGCGAATCGATCAGCCAGATTAGAAAGACCCGCACCAGCGACTCCACCACCGCACTATGAAGATTCCCTCCAACGCATTATGAAGATTCCCTCCAACGCACTATGAAGAGATTCTCTCCAACGCACTATAAAGATTTACTCCTCCAACGCACTATAAAGATTTCTCTATCCAACGCACTATGACGATTTCTCTCTCCAACGCACTATAAAGATTTCTCTCTCCAACGCACTATGAAGATTCCCTCCAACGCACTATAAAGATTTCTCTCTCCAACGCACTATAAAGATTTCTCTCTCCAACGCACTATAAAGATTTCTCTCTCCAACGCACTATGAAGATTCCCCCCTTCACGACCACCGCACTATAAAGATTCCCCCCTACACCACCACCACCGCACTATGACGATTTCTCTCTCCAACGCACTATGAAGATTCCCTCCTCCAACGCACTATGAAGATTTCCCTCTCCACCAGCCCACGTACTCCCCCGCCACTTACAGCTTGAATCCATAAATAAAAGATGCACATTTGAGTAGGAAAGCCGGCAAGGCCAAACCTGTGATAAACCAACATGTCAACTCCTCAAATCGATCATCGGGGCGCGCGCTTTTTGTCCTAGGCGAAGACTGATGTAATGTTACTCAACAACTTCCACCAACTGGCATTTTGTTCGAGACCCGACGATAAACTAACTACCATTCATTCATCAACTCCAACACAATTTTTTCCGTAAATTTTCCAAATAACAACGCGGGAAGACTTCATTTCAGCGGAAAAATTGTATTTTTTCTGAGGGAAATTCGGGAATTTTCCCCTCAACTGAGTAGTGTTTTAGACTGCCACTTCAACAAGGCTTAGATATAATGATTGACAATCATATCCTGAAGATTCACCCGTGATATGAATAAACACTAGTGGAAAAAATATATTTCACGACTACCACATAGCGCGAATACCAGGAGTATTACTCCACTTCACGTGAAACGCGCGAAACTCCACTGAAGTGAAACGGTAATATTCGTCACCATAATTTTCCCAACGCACACGCACATACAGTGTTAAAATATCTGTTCGCTTTCCTCAGCTGCTGAGCTCCGGAGATTCGTCGCCATACACATAATTTTATTTACACATTCTTTTTCAAACTATCAAGGATCCCCCAAAATTTCCTCCCAGAATATTCATACTATCACCAACACATGTAGTTGACCATATGCATATTCCCCCCCAACACCTACATATAATTCCACTTATAAACCAGCCTGAAATCTCGACCAAATGCTTAGCATCGTTATACTGCGCGTCATCCCAATCTTTAGTCACCTCTTCACATTGGAAGGGTCCTCCCGCTGCAGAAGGAGGTCCCCGGTTCGATCCCGGCACCCGACATTTTTATTACATTTTTTCGTCTCGCCATGTGGTCCACAATATTCTACCACAACTTTCAGGAATGCCACCAAACCAACACCCGACATAATTTGAAATACCTAAAATGAGGAAAAAAATCAGAAAAAAAATTCTGGAAAAAAATTTTCCGATTTTCCTACCGCCCAGATCGCACCACACAAACCGCATGCACAGAACATGCCGATGAGACTGCGGTCACTGACATAAAAAAACAAAGTTTTGAAGAAACAAATTTTCGCGCTCTCCTCAGCTGAGCTCAAAAGTTTATATACGAATTCGGGTTCGAAAATTTTCCCAAATTTTCATATCGTCACCAACACATGTAGTTGACCATGTGCATATTTTCTCACACTGGTGAGATTTGATTATTCCATTGCGTTGGGGGAAAATTTTCCAAACGTAACAGAATTGCGTAAATTTTCCCAGAAAATTCGTAACACAATTCTGTAAATTTTTTAATGTGAGATCAAATCTAATAAGTTTTCATCACCAAAAAAATTCAAAAACACATTCTTCAAGAATGGTCAAGTTTCTTCCAAGTAAAACCTGACAAAAATTCAGCAAAAAAAACACAAATTTCCGCATAGAATAACGAAATTCGTGGAAATTTCACCCAAAAATCTTCGCTTTTTTCATCGCAATTCTTCTCACTTGTTTTTAGCCCCATAATATCCGCACGCAGGCACAAGCAGACCAATAACCACCGAAAAGAAGGTCCCGGAGGAAACGTAGTGAAATAATACATCCTGAAAAAAGTGGAAAAAATTTATGACAAATTGGAAATTAGGGCGGATCGAAAACACCTGAATTATTTTCCCAAAACAACCTTACGCGCGAACCGTAAATCGAAAAAATGAAAATTTTGCGAATGAGAATTCGCGCGAAATTTTCGAGAATTTTCAATCTCACTTCACAGAGGAAGATATAATACTTAGCCGTTTGAAAAACATACGTATTTTATTTCCGAATTTTCGTGAGCGAAAATTTTCTCTAAAATTGATGACAACATAACTTCACATAACAGCACGCTAACCAACTCGTGAAAAAATATTTTTTTCTCATATACCACCTCTAGGTCGAAAATTTACATACAAAATTTTCTGGAAAAATGGAAAAATTTGAAGGGAAAAATTTTTTCTCCAAATGATTACGCTGAGAATAGTCGTGATGATGACCACTACCGCTGTTGCGATACTTAAGCTGATAACCTGATACATGGAAAGATTCAAATCGTGCCCCGCAGCAAAGATACAAAATAGGTCCGGTTTTACCTTCCTCACGAGCATCGCTATCTCAGGACCTCCAACGTTGAGTCCATACACTAGGATGGAGTTCCGGGGGTATCCCTCCTCAGCGTTGGCAGGCTGCAGAGGCGCGTTGTAATTTTCCATCAAAAAAGTTGAAAATACCGGAAAAAAATTTCCCAAATCTTGTAGCTCTCGATTTGGTATAAAACGGATACAGTAGGCTTGACAACCTCCTTAGTAAAATTAAAAGTGAAATTATCATTTTCCCATACATTGGAGTTTCACCCGTGATATAGATTGTGAATATTTCACGCACGATTATGTTGAGCTAAAAAAGAAGTATTAACTAGTGGAGAACACATCACAGATTTCAAAGTAAAATTATCATTTTCTCAAATTTAATTGATTTCCTTTTTATATAAGTTCACCCGTGACATGAAAACACATTTCACATCGCGAGAAAACGCGTGAAACCATTCACAGTTTATAACGCCTATCTACTCAAAGACGACTGCCTTCTTCCTCCTTGGTCGCAGCGTCGTCGGCTCTCCGTGTAAAGGGGTGTGCATCCATTCCTATTTCAATAGCCCTTGAGGTTGGCTTCGATACTGACTGCACGCATGCACATCTGCACGCATGCGTCCATCCGGTTCGAAATAATCACGCAAATCACATAAATGCAATTCGCGGTTAACTATAAAGTAAGTAAGGAAGAAATTCTGAGGCGCCTCAAATCATTGGTGCCAGACTGGCACTGCCAGATCCCGAGCTCTGTTGGTTCTGGTGGTCGATAGATCCGAAACGGCTGGTCGACTGATGGTGATGTCAGATATTTGGTTTGGTTTTATCGATCTTTGGGACTCCTGTGGCGTGGTATATAATCAACTAAGATAGAACATAGTGTGTACGCATGTGTCTGTGATGAGCCCTAGCCATCTGGCTCAAGTTCGTTTAGTCCTAATTTCCACTCCCCTCGTATCGCGTTCCTCAGTGCTGGGAAGTATTCTATATCTAAAATAGGAGCCTCTCACCGCCGTCAAGCTCGCCGCGCCTTCTTTCGAGCATTCCACAATGGGCGAGCAAATATCTTCGTGCGCTGCCATTTTTCCCAAACGTTTTCGAGACAACTTCACGAGATTTAATTCTCTCATGTAGCATAGGAATATACGCACATGTCCAACTACATGTGTTGGTGACAATATGGAAATTCTGAGAGGAAGTTCTTTCCATAAACTTACCAGCTCAGTTGAGGAAAGCAAACATGTATTCCCAAATTGCTCTCATCTCAAGAATGCTATTCCCATTCAGTGTGCCAAAACAAGCAGTTGATGATAATATGGAAATTTCGGATATTCTACCCGAATTTCTATAATAGATGAGGAAACAACTCCTGAGCTCAGTTGAGGAAAGCGATCATATTCTCCTACACTGTACTCATTGAGCATTCCCTATTCGTTAGTCGTATTAGAAGACTTCTCGCTCGACACAACCGTAGGGGAAAAATCAAATCTCAATCTCACTAAATTGGAAATCACTAAATCTGCGACGATGAAGAATATGAGGATTATTTTGATTGTTGACGATATGTAGGGTTGAATGATAACTCCGCTCAGTTCTAGGTTGGCAGATATGATAGCATGGTGTCAGTGATCATATCGTTAGAAACTGTGACAACGTAGAGGAACTCCTGACGGGGCCCTGCTACTCGCCATGGGTTCGCCGGCTAGGTTGAGTGAATTCGCTGGATGCTCCCCGCCACGTATATATAATTTCAATCAATAGCAGTCCACTACTACTTGATATCAACAATTATCATTTCAACTTCTCATCAGCAGCTTGGCGCAGTGGATAGCGTGTTGGGCTCATAACCCAAAGGTCCCTTGATCGAAACAAGGAGCTGCTATTTTTTCCACTTTTATACTATCGCAGTTCGCATCTCACACCTACTATGTCCATCACTCAGTTCAGTGATGATGCTTACAATAAATACCCCGACAACACAAACAACGACCATCCCGGAACTCTCATAGGAAACTGGTCCCCACTTATACGGTCAATCATCTCTCCACAATTTTCACACAGGTTCGAGGAAACCCAAATTCGGCAAGCGACTGGGGAAGGGCGAACGGTGCCGCAAAGACATCTCAAGAGGCGAGGGCTTCTCGATGGTGATGGTCCCGAGGTTTGGCCCACTCCAGTGGAAAAAGTGAGCTCTCTTAAATTCGTTGCTACAATTGGAAAACATTGTTGCTCAAATCATAAGTGTAACTGTTCTGTGCATTTACTCCTCTCCTCAGGACAACACGTTCGAGCGTGTACACGGCAAGCGACTGAGTTCTGCCAAGTTCGACACATGTGCGGGTGATGTTGGCAATTACAAATGCCCTATTACAGGTAACTTCGCCAGACGTTTTATCAAGAGTTGTCACATGTGTTGGTGAAAATATGAAAATTCTATGAGGAATTCTCATTGGTCCATGTACACTTCTACCCCAAGTCGCGTGTGAGCTCAGCTGAGGAAAGCGAATATGTATTCCAATACTGTTCCCGAGTTTCGCACTGTTGCTGTGCGAATAAGCAACAAAATAATAAGCTCGTTACAATGGTGACATCCCTTCATCATTCACTCCATCTGAACTTGACCATTCGCGAGAATAAATCGTCGTAGCGATTCACTTCATAATATGAAGAGGATAACGCCACCCTATGCGTGGCATTTTATGTATTTTTCTCTGAAGTTTGTCTTAGTAGAGAGTATACTCTACAGGTAGAAATTTGATGGCGAATGACGCTGAATGTCTTGGCGTCCGAGTGCGTTGTGATGCTGACTTTGCCAAGATGAGATTAATCGCCGAGGAACAAGTAAGCAACTGCGCGCGTAGACATCGATGAAGTTGTCCTCATAATAACATCTAGTATGAGCACGGGGGGGAGTATTTCTTTTAAGGTTAATTCTGCTGATTGTCGCGAATCGGGCCAAACAAAGATGCGCTATTTCGACACCGAAAATGCGGCGAATTACGTCGGCGATCAACCCGAGAAGTGAGGGGAAAATAATGGGCATCTCGTATCTAAACCACGTATGAAAAACTAAAGTAGTGGTAAATATATCACAAATATTATTATAGTCCTTTCGAATGACAAACGCATCGACGCCCCCAGTCTCAGTGTAGAAAATACACGACAATGCGCTCATTCGTTTCGCACATCGTGTGCGAATTCAACAGCTATCATCTCAGTGCTGGATCGGAGAACCAACAGGGCGTGCTCACGGTCTCTCCAGCGTCGTTGGCGCTCGATAGAAGTGCCGATGTGCATTATTCCGCTTCTGAACTGATAAGCCAGTGAGAAAAACACAAGGCGAAGAATTTTCCATTGTGAAACGAATCCTTTAGGCATACGCAACCACCGCAGTCGCATCAAGACACTACACGTAAGAAGCGTATTCTTGAACGAGTACTCGATTGTAACTTTTTAGGAAATAGAGTTGATTCGAAACGTGCCTTCGGAAGAACAAACAAGTAAGGGGATGAATTTATGAGAAATCTCAAATATTAGTTTCTCAAGATTCACGCGACCGAATCACGAAGAGCTCCGGAAGGGCCAACTCTGGCGCGACGAAGTAAGTCCAGTATTCAGAATATATGTTTGCTCTCCTCAGCTGAGCTCAATAATTTCCTCACGAATTACGGTAGAAGTCTCTCAATATCTTCATTTTTCCAACACACATTTCTTCCACACTCACTCAGTTAGTCGTAAGCGACCGATGCACTGTAGGTTTGCAACCGACCAGGAAAGACCCTTGGCATGTCGGAGACTGTAAATTCCCTTATCCAGGCTAAGATGCTCGATCGAGGTCAGTTGGGACCTGCGATATATTCACACAATTGTTGTCCCCTTTATAAGCAACTACATCCAGAAGCACCCGCGGATCGATATGAATATTCGGTTTTCGGAGTCTAATACGAGTCCACTTCTTGTTGGTCATCATACACTATAAATCCCTTGTGAAATATGCATTATATTAGTCGAGAATTAGGAATATACGTTTGGTTTCCTCAACTGAGCTCGGGAGTTTCCTCACTAATTATGGGAGTTTATATAAAAATTCGGGTAGAAAAATAACAATGATGATTCCCCTGAGTTCCTCAGAATTTTCATATTGTCACCAACACATGTAGTTGACTGAGTGCATATTTTTCCACACTAATAAAATTGGTCTGGTTTGGATTTCGTGTTATGAGAAAAAGTGAAAATTGATATTCGTGTTGGGCGGAATTCTGGATCTTCATCGAGTTTAGTCGAAATTCTGTAGTGAATTTGAAATTACTTTACCGAACATATCTCAATACGGAGTTTGTCACTCCAGTTCATAGCAGCAACACATTTTGACGAGCAGATAATATTGCCGTACCATCCCTGGTTGAACTGAAGGGAAAACTTAGGGAGTATCTCTCTGAACGAGACGGTCCATGTGCCCTCGTGTTGCTCCGATCAAAGCTCGATGACATATCCAAATCAGCAGGACGTAAACACGTCATCATCAGGGAGGTGAGCAAAATGTTGTGGCTCAATTTTGACGAGCCGTTGACACATTCGGAAGAGCGATGAAATTCATTTTCCATTTGAGGAAGCACATGGAGTTATTCTTATTCGCATATATATACCACATATAATTTGAGTTTTATGAAAAACACTATTGAAAAACATATTTCACGACTACTGCATATCACCGCGAATATCGCGTTTTTCACCAAGTTTTACGCCACTTCACGTAAAACGGGTGAAACGCCATCATATTGCAGTTCGACATGTTTTACGTGAAGTAGCGTTATACTCTTTGTGAAAAACGCGATATTCACGATTTGAAGTGAATTGGAAATACTCAGGGAATTACATCAGACAAGTCACCCCATATCACGTGTTAATCGCTGCTCACATGCGTTTTTTTTTCGAAGTGGAATGTGAAATATGTCCTTCACTAGTGTTTTCATATCACGGGTGAAACTCCATCATATAATGTGAATAATGCAGGTGCTCGACTCCCTTCCTGAAAAGGCTCGTGAATTGGAGGGAATTGAAGACTACCTCAAACTTCTATGTCGCACAAAACCAGACATGCTTTACCCCGAACAAGTTGGATTCGAAATTTTTCATAACTTCACGACGTTTTTCACTTCAGCTCATCGAAAGACTTCGTTCGGATCTGCCTGGTGACAAACTCCTCGCGTTTTATAACGCTTTAGAGTCTAATAATATCGTCGATCGCGAGTCAGGAATTGTTGATGGTAAATTAGGCAGTAGTTGCGGCGTTAACTCAACATAGTGACAGTTACGAAGCTCATAGCTATCGCACCGAATGAGACAATTCATACGCATTTGAATGGCATGGGAAAAGCCAACTGGAGAGATATTGAGATACTGGTGACCAGTGTTGGAGGAATATATGTTTGCTTTCCTCAGTTGAGCTCAGGAGTTTCCTCACTAATTATTGAAGTTTGCATACGAATTCGGGATAGAAGTGTAGAAAAACCAATGATAATTCTCCAAAATTTCATATCAGAATTCTCATATTATCACCGACATATGTGGTTGACCATGTGCATATTTTCCCAATCTAGAAATCCGATTTTATGATTTTTTGAGGAGTGTTATCATCAATCGAAGTGAATAGACTTCTACACAGTGTTAATTTATATGGTTTGAGGTAGAAGTATACGAAAAACAACAAGAATTTCTCAAAATTTCCTTCGAGATTTCTACACACGTAGTTGACCATTTGCATTTTTTTCATTGCTCCTAGATTATCTAGGAGCACATATCTAGACTAGATATGTGTGTAGATGAGGGAGCAGTATTCAAAAATTTTCTATTTTTAATTGTATTTTTCTTACGAGCATACCACTACTAGATGTACTCATGTGCAGGTCCGAGATATGTGCGGTTGTGGAGACTTTTCTCTACTGGATCGTTGGCATGATATGATTACCTCATGAGATGACTTTTGAAGATGTGTAAAATTCATCTGAATTGAGTTAGTCTGTACCACTGAGTTGATTAGCCGTACGAGTGAACCAATACGATGAGTTGGTACTTCTCCTCACGAGAGTGGAGACACGATTCACACAATTCGATATTTTTCCTCACATTCCTCTGCCCCAGGCGAAATTGGGAAACAGTCCACACCGTTAGGATTGCTACCGTTCCTCGTTGCCGATAAAGTAATGCTAATCAAGATTCCTACACGCCGTTGGAATCGGTGCGGGAAAATATGCACATATGTCGGTGATGTCGCTGATGAAATTTTGAAGAATTATTATTGGTTTTTGTACACTTCTCCCCGAATTCGTATGCAAACTCCTATAATTAGTGAGGAAACTCCTGAGCTCTGCTGAGGAAACCAACATATATTCCCATACAGAAGAGCTACGTTATGTTGGAGTTGTTACTCAAACGACAATCGAGTTTTCTTGCAGATATTAAGTTGGAATAACAACTGTCCGTTGGGTTTCTATCCGCGAAATTGAAAACACATCATGTCCGCTTCTCGAGTTTGTCACAACGATGCTGTCAGTGGCACCAAGTATCCCCTCATTTTAACATTCTTTCCCAAAACTTTCTCATACGGCAAAGAAAGTACTTTCCAGCTACTATAAAGTCTCTCATATTAAGGGAAGGATTAATTCATTTCTGAATGACGATTTTACCCCCTTTTTTCAACTTCTTTTTTCTTTCCTTTTTCGTTACTGTGAACAACTCGACACAAGAAAGTTATTAAGAAAATTATATCAGCAATTACAGACCACAATACTATGTTGTCGGGGCTGGGGTTGGAGGCTCCTCTACAGCTTCAACCTCGCTCTCTCCTACCAGTCGGTGTCGCTCGGATGCTGCATCGAATCGCCCTGTGTCTATGCGAGTCATTTCACCTGGCAAAATGCGGTGAATATTACATGAAAAATGCAGAGATAATTCAACACGGTTAAATTCAACTACCCATTTCTCGCCAACATATGCGTGATATAAGAAAACACTTCCAGAAAAGTGTAAATTCATTCGAGAGAAAGGAAAAAGAAAACCATATGCACACACATTTGAGTTTCACGACCCGGTTCACGTGAAGTGAGGTAATACTCTGTGAGAAACGCAATATTCGCGGTGATATGCAGCAGTCGTGAATTGTGTTTTTCACTAGTGTTTTTCATATCACTAGGGTAAAACCCTATAGGGACAACGCATGAAATGTAGCAGAATAGGATACACATACCTCCGAAAACAGGATCGAACTTCGCCTTGTAGTAGCTTCCATCAGCACACATAACAGCAACAGTGTTAGTAGTGCTACCGAAGCATGCGATGCAGCGATAGTCGGGCACGCGGAACCGTGCAAAACTCCACTCTGAACCAAAGTAGCCACCAAAGAATCTACAAATACGAGAATAATACCATAATTTCACCGAATTCCAAGTCAGTTGGCATAATATTAATTTCATAAGGTAATATTAGTGTTAAGAACAAATAATGGAGTTTCACCCGATGTGAAATGTGGAATATGTTTTTCACTAGTGTTTTTCATATCACGGGTGAAACTCCTGTAAATGAAATCCCAACACTCATACACACGTCGCATAATCGTTTCAAAGGCGAACGAGTGTTGGCAGATGCCGATTGAGGAACTCACGCTACAAGCCAAATGTTAGAATAAAACCAATAAACTTCGGAAATCGTGGGTGAAGAATTCCGAAAACGTGTATTTTCCCCTCCGGAGTTAATCACATGGACCTACCTGAATTTGCTCCGAGCGTTCCCACCGCCCCCTCGAGACTCTCGCCCACCTCCAGAAGGCACTCGAACAGCAAACACATGTACCGTCCCCTGAATGCGACGTTTTTACACGAGTAAAAACGTTCCCATCCATAACGATTATCCGCACCTACCTTATCACTAGAGACCACAATCCAGCGTCCGCTCGAATGGAAAACGATAGAGCATATGTCAGCCCGATCAACCCCACGCCTGAGCTCCTGGAGGAGGTACCCTGTCGTCGTATCGTGAATTCTTATCAATGTCCCCTAAAACCACCACTACAGCCATACCACTCTTTCTACACTTCATGTCGCAAGTCAATTTTTCCTGATTTTCTTCCAGAAAAGTTTTCACAATAGCCCATCAAGACCTCGATAAGCAACAAAAAAACTGTTGTTAGTTCCGACACATGAGCCAACTGCAAAACAGCCTGGAGTTCCCTTCCTACTATATACAAAACTATACACATGTACAGCTACGCTTATCAATGACACTGTGGAAATATATTGAGTTCGTGCGTAGTTTTGGGAATTCCTCCCCTCAGCTAAAAAATCCAATATCAAACTCGAGTTGCTCAAACAATGCATCTCAATGGAGTTCCATCCGTTTTACGTGAAGTGGCGTGAAAAACCCGATATTCGCGATATGAAGTGAATTGAAAACACTTCGAAAATTACACCCGGAAAGTTATGATAACAAACTATACACCGTTCAGTCTAGGGATCTTCCAAAAAATACGGATTTCCGTATTTCGATTTTTTCCACTCGAAAAACGACGTGCCTGGGACGAGTTCAACTTGCTTCTGTCTATGTAAATCTCGCTCGCCACAAAAATATGAACACCAACCTTGTCACTAGAAGTTGCCAATATGTTTCCGCTCGCATCCAATGCAAGCTGGCTGATCTGCGAGTCGTGAGCTAAAATCACCGAGGAAATACTCGGCCCTCGAGACTCCGCCGTAAAGGGCGTATCATAGACACTTATACGAACCCGACCTATTAAACGAAAGATGCTATCTTGTGCATGCGTGCAAACCACCTTACCTTTCTGCTGGTCAGCAACTGTGGCTAGCACAGCGCGGTTCTCACTTTGATTCAGCGCTATGATTCCTCGAGGGTTATGCGCAGTAGTAATGCTATCGATAAGGGTGAGGTCCGAAAATCGATACACGTACACCTACACCAAATAAAAACACAATTATATCCCCATTAAAAATGCAGTGGAGTTTCACAACCCGTTTTACGTGAAGTAGCGTAAAACTCGGTGAAAAACGCGATTTTCGCGCTACACAGTAGTCCTGAAATATGTTTTTCATATCGCGGGTGAAACTCCAGTGTTGAAATATATTCTCGTTTTCCTCAGCTACAAATTTACGCACGAATTCGGGTAGAAATGTATAGAAACCAATGAGAATTCCTCAAAATTTTCTCACAATTTCCATATTGTCACCAACTCACATGTAGTTGACCATATGCATATAAAAATGGCTATACGAAATTCCGATGTTTTGAAAAATTTCCACACACTGAATGATTTCTATTCTGATTTGTGGTATGACAAAATTGAAAAATAGTAAAAATATCATTTTGATAATTTCACACATGTAAAATTCACTCCACTACACCTGTGACCAACCTTAGAATCAATCGCAACGACAATCATATCTCGCCGCATCCTAACGGCCTTTACAGTCGTTCGAAATGACAACTCCGCGAGGGGACGGGGATAACGATCATCCTAAACACAAAGGAGGCGATTTGGTGACACAAGAATTTCGTGTCACCCAGTGAAAAACATATATCACATTTCACTTGACCTCTGAATGTCGCGTAAAACATGTGATATGTAAAACGCATAGTTGCATATTCATTGGAGTTTCACCACCCTAGTGATATGAAAAACATATTCCACGACTACTGCATATCACCGCGAATAATATCGCGTTTTTCACAGAGTTTTACGCCCCCACTTCACGTAAAACGCGTTGTGAAACTCCATTATAAACTAACACCCACACGAGAGAGAATTTTTGCAGTGAAATTCAACAACAAAGATACGAATGAGGTCCCCCTACGACCTACCCACAAGATCACTTTATGTGGGGCAAATCTAGGATTCCTACCGCCACCTGAAAACAAAACAAACTAATTGTATCTATTCGCACTTGCTGAAAAACTCATCATAAAATACTACTGCTGCAACACAATGGAGTTTCACCCGTTTCACATGAAGTAACGTAATACTCCATGTGAAAAACGCGGTGATATTCGCGATGTGAAGTGAATTGAAAACACTTCGCGAATAGACCGGAAATATCACCGCATTTCAAGGGAAAAAGTCGCAGGACTTGACGAGTTTTACGCTTTCTTCGCTGCTTACATGTGTTTTTCGCAAGTGAAATATGAAATATGTTTTCCACTAGGGTGTTTTATATCACTAGGGTGAAACTCCATTTTTATCCGAATTCGTGTGTAAACTTCTATTATCAAAAGCCTCTGAGCTCAGCTGAGGAAATCCAACACAATTTCCGACCCCATACCAAAACTCAACCACAAGTACCAGAATATTGCTACGATGAACTGCGCCAAATTTTACGGAAATTTTCGTTGATTTCTGTACATTTTTACTCTATTTCTAGTGGA